CACGGGGGGCGGGCACGCGCGGGGGCGCCGGGGGGGGGGGGGGGGGGGGGGGGCCGCACACCCGCACGCATATATTACAGACGCCCGAATACTTGTATGTAAACAGCCATCGCTGGCTGTTTACATTCCAGGGTGATTTCCCGCTCGTGCGCACCGCCTAGCGGCGGGGCGTTTAAAAACACCCACCCGCATTCAAAAAGCCGCTGTCCGGCCGTTTAATTACAACAGCCGGACAGCAGGTGGTTAAGAACACACACAAACACAGGCTCTACACTAGGGCACGTAAAAAAACAAACCATTGTTTTAAGTGCCCTGTTCACACCACAACTCTGCATTGAGGTGGGTTCTGATGTGGTGCATAAAAATACAGACCGGCTGTATGTTTTTCGTGCATGAAGATGAATGAAATTTCAATAAAGTTAAAAAGAAAACTGTGTCGGGCACACAACAGACACCAGCCTGCAGATAAAATGGCCTGTTCTAGCATGCAGGGTGGTGTGAATGAGCCCCAAGGTCCTGTATGGACAGAAACAGTTTGAGATGCTTCTGAGACCATTGAGAAATCATTGAAGGTGCATCTGACTTGCTTTGAGTGGGTTTTGTATTCATATGGATTTCTATGGGAATGCAAAACCTGGTTGAAGCACACAAGAGCACTTCAACACAGGCCCTGATTGTGGTGTATTTTTCTTCTATAAAGCGACAAACCCCTCAGGTTTTTTTCTACTTTTACAAATCTACACAATGAACATTCTCCAAAGCCACATTTAGGTTTTATAATAAAGTCTTATCATTTGAATCCCTTTCGAAAGTCTGCTGTGCTTGTTCCCGTCTCTTCTCTCCCCTCACACTTCCTGTCCCTTAGTAAGAGCCGTGCATGTTGATTCTGGTCACGTGCACATCTTTCTTTGCCTACAACTCCCATGAGGCATAGAGGAATCGTCTCCAACTGCACACAGCTGCCCGCTCCTCACACTGTGAGGAGCTGTGGCACTGTGACAGTGTCACTGCTTGTAATCTCCTCTGCAATGCTCTGAATTATCACAACTACTGACAACAAATCTACACAGAAAAACATTCCAAATGTCGGAGCCGTCTCCTCTGTGACTGTGACCAGATTCAGCATGTGAGCCGAGACTCAGGACCGGTGCACACCTTGGGGACACCTCACGGCAATCGTGCCCGATTCCGCACGGTCACGGTGTCGCCCAGCACAGAAGGTCCAGGGGTGTGGAATTCGTATCGCCCGACGCCCGGGACATGTAGTTCCAAGCGCCGGGCAAGTTGTTTGGTCACTATTTTAGCCCTGCTACGGACAAGTAGCAGGGCTGGGTTTTTTTTCTTAAACGAGCGCCGAGAGCGGCGCTGCGAGCATGGGGCGTGGATCGCCGAGAGCGTGGACGGAGCGGGGAAGGATCGCTGAGAACTAGGGACGGAGCGGAGGGCGTGGAGCCGTGACGAAGCCAGACAGTGGAGCTGTGACAGGCTCCGTCACCTCCCTCAGCCTCTGTTCCTTCCTACCACAGGAGGTCCAGCAACAGTGCTATGCTAGAACTCCTGTGTTGGAGGTGACAGGGTCAATAAAGAGTACCTGTCACCTCCAAATGCTATCACACAGGATTATTATTCCCTGTGTGATAGCAATACAGTTAAGTTTTTTTTTTTTTAAATAGTTAAAATGAAAAAGTAAAAAATAATAATTAAAAATGTATCTAAATAAAAAGGCGATTTAAGGAAAAATAATAAAACAAATGCATTTTTTTTACAAAGTAAATAAAAATTAAAAAAATGAAAACCAGCCCCGCTGTCCCCATCTGCATGCGAATAAACACGCAGTGTTTTCAACTGCAATCGTGTGCAACCGCTCGGGCAAGGCAGTATTGCAGCAGGAAAACGCACAATCTGCCTGGCAAGACTGGGGTGTCATTAGAAAATAATGGCACTGCCAGCGCAATCGGCAGTGGTGTGCGATCCGTGACTGCACGGTCATCATGCACGAAACCGAGCGGATGGCTGGGTGGTTTCAGCTCCCATAGAGACCATGGAGCAGAAAATTAGCCACACTCTGGCAGGAAATTGTGGCTGGAGAAAAATAAAATGGATTTTGGAGCATTTAGGAGCTAACCAATGACAAAAAAAAAATTTAAAAAAAAAAAAAAGGTAACAGTGATTTATATAATTTGTATTATTTAATTTCTGAGTTTAGTGTTGCTTTAAAACCAAGAAGCATATTCTTAATGGTCAGAATCAGAACATGATATAAGGACAAGTCCGTAAAATAAAAAAGTATTAAAATTCAAGTTATTGATTAATGTAGAAAGCAGTAAGGCAGAGGATCTTAAAAGAGCAGTGATTTATTCAGGGTTCATCTACACGAGTCGTATACTGCTCGCGGTATACTGAGACGCCGCAGCTGAAACGGATCTCGAAAATTATGTCGGTACCCGCCCCCTCCCCCGTCCGTTCCGCCAGTCAGCGCTGGAGGATCGGAGCGGGGAGGGGGGGGGAATCCAGTTCCTCCCGTCACGGCTCTCTGCCGTGACAGGATCGAGAAGTGAGCGAGCGCCGGTATGTGTTCGCTCACCTCCCGATCTACTGAGCCGGCCTGTGACAGTCTCATTGTCACAGGTCGGCTAGAACTATGAGGTGAGTGAAAAGCACTCACCTCAGTTCTCCTTTAAGCACAAGACAGCCCATAGGAAAGCATTGTGATGCATTTTGACTGCAGCAGTCAAAATAAACGGACTGCATCACAACTGCATATGGTGTGAACTGGCCCTTACTCTTAGCTCACACCAGAAACTGTATCACAACTGCGTGCGTCTGTGCAGTTGCATTGTGATGAGTTTTTTTTCACCTGCATGTCCCTGGATGATGCCACAATCAATTTCCTTTTTGTATGTATTCCGTTGGGTTTTAGTGCATTTTGATGCGTTTAGTGCAGTTAGATGCAGATAAAATAGGACAAGCTGTACTTTTTCTGACTGCATCTGAACGGACTGCAATGGTGTGAATTAAGCACAGGAAAGCCCATAGGAAAGCATTGGGATGTATTTTGATTGCAGCAGTTAAACGGACTGCATCCCAACTGCATATGGTGTGAACTGGCCCCTATAGTCACTTGTCCTGCTGCCAAGCTCCAACTGAAGAATATCCCGCATCAGACACTTCCATTAGTGTTAGCTGGTTGGTTCCATGTCCAGCCTGTACATGGAGTCTCCACTTCTGCCCAAGTTAAGAATAAGTCCCATCCCTCCCAACATATCGCCCATCCTCATACTTCTGTCAAATGAACTGGATAACAGGGGGATGGGCACTTCTCATGACTGTGGAAAGTAGAAATCCAGAATTACATGTATTAGTTTGGATGGCACCCTTCCCCTGATATTTTATCTGGTGTATTTCAGGTACAATATATGACTGCGTGTGACTGGAATGTAAATGTACACAGAACAAGCACTGGCTGCCCCACCCTTAGACTACTTAGGATTGCTGGACAAGATGAGATCACTGTGCTGTCTGAAAAGAAAGAAAGCGCTATTTTTACACCAACACTGAAATATTCTTGTAGGCATGTCTGATATTCTCTCACAACAGACAACTATCCCAGAAAGCCACATCCACCAACACAGCTACAAATTACTGGGGCCCATAGCAACTTAGTCAAATGGCTTAGACAAGACTACATTGCACTTCTGTGTGCACTGCGTCATGGGCAGGGCTAGAAAGGTTGCGTGCACTGCGTCATGGGCAGGGCTAGAAAGGTTGCGTGTACTGCGTCATGGGCAGGGCTAGAACGGTTGCGTGCACTGCGTCATGGGCAGGGCTAGAACGGTTGCGTGTACTGCGTCATGGGCAGGGCTAGAACGGTTGCGTGCACTGCGTCATGGACAGGACTA